TGCTTGGCTCGCACCCACCCTCCAATGATGCAACACCCACCTGCGCTCTGCCAACCCACTCCAGAAGTGGGTTACAATCGCCCTGTGGAAGCTGGCCACCCAAGAGAGCTACCGCTCGGTGGCTAACCAGTTTGGGGTGGGGAAGTCCACCATTGGGGCCATCCTGATGCAGGTAAGGAGATCATGGGCTGCAGCTCTTGCACAGGGCGAGGGAGGTTGCATACGGGGGACCCTCAGGACAGGGGAGCTGAAGATTGTACGGGGTAGAGTGTGGGTGGGGGGAAAGCCCTGGCCCCAGGGGCTTGTGCCTTATCGGCCTCACACAGCCCTGTTGGGGGGGAGGGGAGCACAGGCTCACAGGAGCATTCCTGGGGGGACTTTGGAAGGGGGGGGCATGTCCCACTGGGATCATACAATCCCCCTCTCATTCTCTGTTTTGTGTGTGGTTTTTTTTTGGTCTCCTTCTACAGGTAGTCCGGGCCATCAACTCCCTGCTGCTGTGCAGTCCTCCGTGTGGGTGGTTTTGCTGTCCTGGTGATCCAGGGGAGCCATTGACAGCATACATATCCCCAACCGGGCCCTGGACCATCGAACAGCCCAGTTTGTGAACTGCAAGGGCTATTTCTCAGTAGTCCTGCAGGTCCTGGTGGACCACCACAACCACTTCGCAAACATTTACGTGGGGTGGTTGGGCAGGGTACACAATGCCCGGATTTTCAGGAAATCCTGCCTGTGTGCCCAACTGGAGGTAGGAACCTTTTTCCTCCCACCAGGAGCTTCCTGTGAGCAGGGCCGGCTTTAGGAAGTGCGGGGCCCAATTCGAAACGTTTTGCCGGGACCCCCGCTCCAGGATTTTTTGTTGAGCAGGAAAAAAAACCCACCCACACAACAAACCACATCCACACACAAATATCACATCAGAAACAGATCTAATCAAAATGTATATCAATATAGTTGAAGATTTAAAAAAAAAAAAAGCCATCCTTTATTATGCAAAATTGTACACAAAATTAAATCAGTTGCCTTAAATGTAGGTCAAATATTTTCAATTGCAAACTATCCAATTTTTTCAATAAAGTTTAAAGTTCGATTTTTAAAAAATTACCAGAGAGCATTGCAGTTTTCTGTTACATTGATTTACTTTTTAAATAGCAAAAATGGAGTCTTTGTTAAGAAAGTGTCAGTTCTGTGGTCAAATTCCAGTCCTTAGTGATTTCAGCGCCAATGATTTCACTAGGTAATATGGTACCTCACCACCAGTGCCTCCTTTGCACTGCCCTTCAAAACACTGCCTGCATGTTGAGTCCAAGGTCAGGCTACACAAGATTTTATCAATGATTTTTGCTCAAGCTATCACTGAGACAAGACAAGGACTCTCAACTGATTCTAGTCAGCTCTGCCCTTAAACACTGGGGCTGTGTCTAGACTGCACCCCTTTTGCGGAAAAGGGATGCAGATTAGACACAGCGCAATTGCAAATGAAGCAGGGGACATTTAAATCCCTGCTTCATTTGCATGAACATGGCTGCCGCTTTTTTCCAGCTAGGGGCTTTGCCGGCAAAAAGCACAAGTCTAGACGGGGATCTTTCGGAAAATAAAGCCTTTTCCGAAAGATCCCTTATTCCTGATTTTAAGAGCTGACTATGTCTGTGAAGACAGAGGAAAAGAAAGCTTTGAGTACTTCAGCTTTTCCTACATCATCTGTCACTATGTAACCTCCCTCATTCAGTAAGGTCCCTACACTCTCTCCGATCACCCTCTTATTGCTAACATGCCTGTAGAAACCTTTCTTGTTATTCTTCACTTCCCTTACAACCTGCAATTCCAATTGTGCTTTTGCCTTCCTGATTACTCCCCTGCATTCTTGAGCAATATATTTATACTCCTCCCTAATAATCTGTTCAAATTTCCACTTCTTGTAAGATTCCTTTTTGTGTTTGTCTTACCGAGGACATCCATGGTGAACTTAATCTGGTTGCCTACCATATTTGCTTTTCTTACTGCACATCGGGATGGTTTCTTCCTGTGCCTTTAATAAGGCTTCTTAAAAATACTGCCAGCTCTCCTGGACTCCTTTCCCCTTCATGTTAGCATCCCAGGGATCCTGCCCATCAGTTCTCTGAGGGAGTCAAAGTCTGCTTTTCTGAAGTCCAGGGTGTGTATTTTGCTACTCTCCTTTCTTCCTTTTGTCAGAATCCTGAAATCTACCATCTAGTGATCACTGCTTCCCAGGTATTCACCCACCTCTACTTCCCCTACTAGTTCCTCCTCATTTCTGAGCAGCAGGTCAAGTCATGCGTGGCCCCTGGTTGGTTCCTTCAGCATTTGTACCAAGAAGTTATCCCCAACATTCTCCAAAAATTTCCTGGATTTTCTGTGTACTGCTGTATTGGTCTTCCAACAGATGTCAGGGTGATTAAAGTCCCCCACGAGAACCAGGGCTTGTGATCTGGAAGCTTCTCTCATTTGTCTGAAGAAAGCCTCATCTACCTCATCCACCTGATCTGGTGGTCTATAGCAGCCACCAACCACAACATCACCCCTGTTGCTTCCACCTCTAAACTCAACCCACAGAAGGAGAAAAGCCTGTTGAGAATCTATATACTGGAGCTCTGAGCAATCATATTGCTCTCATACATACAGTGCACTTTCTTATATACAGTGCAACTCCTCCTCCTTTTCTCCCCCGCCTGTTCTTCCTGAACAGTTTATATACTTCCATGACAGAGCTCTAGTTACGTGAGTCATCCCACCAAGTCTCCGTTATTCCAATCAAATCATAGTTCTTTGACTGGGCCAGGGCTTCTAATTCTTCCTGTTCATTTCCCAGGCTTCTTGTATTCGTGTACAAACACCTTAGATAACCAGGGGTCTTCCTTTGTTGCTCCTTCCTTCTTGTGTGTTTTCCCGGTATCCCACTTCCCCAATTACATCAGAGCTTAAGTCACCGTCCCCCAACAAACTTAGTTTAAAGCCCTCCTCACTAGGTTTGCAAGCCTGCCCATGAAGATGCTCTTTCCTCTCTTTTTAAAGTTTTTCCTCTCTTGGTTAGGTGCATCCCATCTCTTCCTAGCAATCCTTGTTCCCGGAACAGAGTCCCATGGTCAAAGAAACCAAAGCCCTCTCTCCGATACCACCTGTGCAACCATGCATTTACTTCCACTATTCGACAATCTCTACCTGGACATTTCCCTTCAACAGGGAGGATGGATGAGAACACCACTTGCGCTTCAAATGTCTTGATCCTTCTTCCCAGCACTACATAATCTTGAGCAGGTCATTCTTGGCCATATCATTAGTTCCTACATGGAGGAAGAGGAAGGGGTAGCAATCTGAAGGTCTGATCAGTTTTGGAAGACTCTCGGTCACATCCTGAATTTGAGCTCCTGGTAAGCAGCACACGTCTCAAGATTCCAGGTCTGGAAGGCAGATGGATGACTCTGTCCCTCTCAGCAGGGAGTCCGAATCTTGAGCAGGTCATTCTTGGCCATATCATTAGTTCCTACATGGAGGAAGAGGAAGGGGTAGCAATCTGAAGGTCTGATCAGTTTTGGAAGACTCTCGGTCACATCCTGAATTTGAGCTCCTGGTAAGCAGCACACGTCTCAAGATTCCAGGTCTGGAAGGCAGATGGATGACTCTGTCCCTCTCAGCAGGGAGTCCGTTCCCCAGCTTCCTTTGAGGGTGGTGGTCGTAGAACACCCATCGCAGGACTACATGTCCCATATCTTCCAGTAGATGGTGTCTACTTCTGATTTCTTCCTTGTGAGGTCCCTGCCACAGCATTCTCCGCCGTAGTGCCTTTGAAGAAAGCCTGAAAGTGGTTACTTACCTTTACTGGCATTGGGGATACCCGAGTTAGCCTTCTTTTCCTAGAGGTCACATGCTGCCAGTTTTCTTCCTTGTTCTTTACTGCCCTGATTGGCTCTTCAGCCTGCTGTGATTGCAGTATTAAATGCTGCCCTCTATCAAGGAAGTCTTCATCTTCTCTGATGGAATGTAGAGTTGATACTTGGACCTCAAGTCCTCTAATTTTTTCTTCCAAAATGGTAACCAGCAAGCACTTAGAAGGAATTTCATCTGCACTGTCTTGAAGACAAACATGGCACATGCTGTATAGATAACAGCAGACCTATCACTATCCATACCTGCCTTCTTAGAGATTCTTCAGAGGTTTTTAAATGCCCCCTTAAATGGCAGAAGTGAAAAAAAAATCAAGAAAAAGACCACCCTATGGGGATCTGCCAGGCAAATGCCCCTGTTTGTTGCTCACTGTGTTTGCCCGTACTGCCTTTTTATAAGGTTGATGGCTAGGCCTGGCTCAAAGTCTTGCCTCTAATCCAATCAGCCCCTAAAGGCCCACCTGGAACAAAGCACACCCAATTCACAATTTTCAAACTTTCCAACTGTGCTCTTTTCAAACTGCTGTTCTTTTCAAGCCGCCAGACACAGTCAAATAAATGCTCACTGACAAACACTTTGATATTCAACCCACCAGCTCACAACACCGCCCCCCAAAAGCCACACATACCTGAGCTCTTCTCGGACATTTCCCAGGCAAACTCCTATGTTGGCTGCTGCCTTGTTCGCTACTCAATGCATTCACATATCTATTCAGACAAAAGTTTCCTGATAATGGAAAGAAAGTATTCCTGAAATACCCTAGAAATGTATAATTATTTAAATATCGACATCTCAGCAGGGGGTGCCAGGCAGGCCTACTGTTGGAGAGAAACTCCTGGGTTCTCCTGTACCCAGGGATAGGAATGTCTAGGTACATTCCTATCCCATTCTCATTCCCATTATATGGGGGAGAAATGCAGCATGTAGGCCGCCAGGGAAGAGTTAACTAGAAGCCTGGCGAGGTACAAGGCGGAGTCCCTCAGCTGCCCGCCTCCAGGCCTTGTCTGGACAAGGAGTCAGGCGTGCTAGAGGCCCTGGCGGCTCCTCCCCGCGGGCTCCTCCCCCTGGCCGGGCGCTTCACGCGGTTGTTGTGCGGTGTCCTCTGCCTCGGACGAGGATGCAGCTGTAGCGAACCCTCCTTTCCCGCGCGGGACTCGTCCGGACCATGAGCTCCGAGGGTAGGGAGCTGGCAGCGCCCCGGTCTGACGGAGGTGGCTGCGCCTGTGGCCGCCGGGGCAGTGGCGGAGGCAGCTGGCGCCTCTTCCTGTGCTTCTTCGCGCTCTCGCTTGCGCTGCACCTCCTTACCCTGGGCTGCTACCTGGAGCTGCGTTCCGAGCTCCGCCGGGAGCGGGACCCCGATCCCACGCCGCCTGTCCGTCAAGGGGGTACCGCGGCCGCCCAGGGTTCCTCGCTTCGCCGAACCCACGGACCGCCGCCAGCAGGTGAGTCGCGAACAATGGGGGTGACTAGCAGTATGAGAACAGTATGACCCTTTGCGGGGCATAGGGGAAGTACAGTGGGGCAAGTGTCTGCAGTTCTAGGCTGCGAGCGATTTTACAGCTGCTCTTCAGGGCTGATCGGTTCTGTCTTAGGGACAGGTGAGGGTGGCTGACATGCTCCCTTCTCGAGCACTATGAATAAAGTATCTGCCTGGAATAATGTCTTCCTCTCCTTAGCATGATGCTGATGTAACCTAATACTAAAGCTGGGGCTTCTGTTTCACCTGCAAGAGTGATTGCCTTCCAGTCCCTTGCCTGTGTTAGGGATTTTAGCACAGGCTTGACACAACCTATTTGAAAAAGTGAGACTGGTCTTTCTCTGCTTACTTGAAGCAACAAGTTTGAGGACATGATGGCTTGTGGCTGCAGTTTTAGCATATCATGCATGCCTCTTCTGGCCAGGTGAGTGTATGCTTTCATCATATAGTTTGACCAAATGTGTCCGGGGATGGCAGAGAGATCTTGTTGCTGTTTTGGGTTAGTGGGAAGGAAAACCCTTACAGAAATTCCAAAAGTGTTTTATAAGGCTATACACTCAAACATTTTAGACCGCTGGGG